GCTATGTTATGGAGATTATAACAAGATGTGCTCGACTCCAATATGTGCTGACAATATTTGATCCCCTCCTGCTGTAATGTTGGAAGTTGAATGTAGGGAGGAATTATTTCTTTTATTCTCTCTCTTTTTTTTTTCCCCAGCCTTTTTGAAGTCTAATTTCCAAGTCATGACATGTAGAGAGTGTCTGAGCAAATCTAATCAGCCTTCTGCCTCCCTTAAGAAGGACAGCTGAGATACTTTTTAACACCTCCATTTCTTCATTACTGCAATCTGTTTTGATTAAAATTGCACAGGGTTCTCATCTGCATATTTATTGCTCCACATAGCCACAAATCAGCTCCCAACTCTGCCACTCCTGAGTGTGCAGGAGAGACCAGAGTGGTGCACTAGGACTTTAAACTATGCAGACATTAATTTAGTTTCTCACACCTGCTGGTTTCCAGCTAATATGTCTTTGGGGAAGGAAAATATTCATACATTACTTTTGCTTAGTATTCCCAAGGAGTCTGGATTCCTGGGGTTTTTTTTCAAGATTGATTGAAAATTTCCTATTAAGAAACAAATTTCTAATTAAATGGAAAGATCCTCCAAAAAATTCTGATGCTGGGAGGGGGCAAAGGGAAGGGGAAACATGTAAACCAAGAAATAACCCTTTTTAATAACATTTGTTCAGCTTTTGACAGGCAGACTGTGATGTGCTTTCAGATCCTCAGATGAAAGGGCTGCAGTGGGAATAAAAATTATTCTTTTCCTTTGTGCTATTGACAGACCATCTTACTTCCACCATATATCAAGAGTATTACAAGCTAGTGATCAGGTTTAGAAGGAGTGTTTTCTAGTCTTTTTCTTCTTTGGTTACATCTGATTTTTACTCCTAGTGTTTCTAAATGGCAAGGAACTTTTTTTTAACCTAAATCTCCTGCCCCAGCTGGTACTGCAGAGATGAAATATTTGCTTCTCAATTCATTCTCTCTATCTTTTAATAGGCCAAAGAATCTCTAAACTGAATAGCAATGTACTCTGAGCCAGGCAGGACTGAGGATTGGAGAAGAGGCAGCAAGTTTAGGATGAAAAAGTGTATTATCTTCATACTCTTCTGGCTTGAACTTGAACCCAACTCTCCTTGCAGAGTTTCCACTGCCTCAGTGGCTGAGCCATTGCCAAACTCTTCACATATCACTTTGGTATAGACATATTTGCTAGAGAGAGCTTGACACCTCTGTTCTGGGCAACCAGGCCAACAGTGTCAGATAGATTACTCATTAGGTTTATGTGCTTTGAAGATGATATTGCACAATTGGAAATATAGAAAGTACTCTCATGATGACAGCTGGTGCAGCCAGAGTGAGAAATCCAAGGATTCATGGCTCAGCCTGTACCTGCCCAAGCTGTACTCGGATGGGGATGGCTCTACCCAAGTGTTCTTGGAAGCAAAGATGTGTACAGCAGGTTTGCTGTATCTCCTGAGGGATACACTCTTGGATTTGGTTTTTATCTGGGGCCAGTATGCAACTACTAGGTGACAGAACACTGTCACTCCTGATCAAGGAAACCTACAACATATACAAGAAGCCACAGCACCTTTTGTTCTTATTTATATTGTGGTTGTGCCTCAGGGAGCAGGAGAGAAGCAAGAGATAACTCTTGCCCAAGGAGGCTGATGGCTGTGGGAAGATGCCAATGACCAGATGGGGAGAGCACAAGCTCTAGACTTTATTGTTGTGCATGACAGGCAGAATATTTTGTAGACCAACCACACAAGCATTGCCAAGATTTTCAAAGCAGTTGTGCTGTAGTCAGGGTGGCAGGAAGGGATGAGGAGCACATTTCATTAGGATGAGTAATATTCTGTATTCGACAAACTGCTTGTAAAAAATTGACATATTCTTGGTAATCCAAACCTCTCAACATACCTGAGAGATATGGTAGAGACATCACCCAGCTCCTTTTATGTGCATTACAGCAAGGCCAAGCTCATGCTGAGAAGATTCATCTTCTTTTGCAAACCTTTGCTGCAAAGGTGGCTGTAAATAATCCAACAGCTGATGTCTGCAAAGAAAATATAGAGAGAATAATTTCAAGAAGTATGTTTAAAATACCATCTACATGAGCTGTTCTGAAGTGAAGATGAAGGAAAATGAACAACAGAGCCTGACAGTTGCTGTGGCTTCCTTTTCTCTCTAGAACTCCCTGCTGCCGGGTGGTCCATTGTGGTCCAAGCTGTTGTTTGGATATGTTTGAGGAATTGAGGTTGGAGAGAAGGATGTCATCTTTGTTCTTCCAGCCAAAAACATGGCTAATGCATAAATCATTTTCTGAAGGTGTCTTGTTCTGTAGATGTCAGATCTAGGAGTGGAGCTCAGCTAATCATGCTGAGTCCTTGGCAGATGGGATGAGAAACACCTGATCTGAATGAATTAGCTCAGATATCACATGAGGTGTCAAAACACAGAGGTCACAGATCAGACACGGAACGCTGCTTCTAGACCACCACAAAGCTTCATAAACTTCAAAAGGATGTCAGCCAAGATACATTAAGTTTTCCAGTATCATCTATAGGCTGGGAGGTTTGGCTGCCTCTAATGCAATGAGAATCCAGTAAAAGTACTGGTGTTCATGTGGCTTTCATCAGTAGTGAAGGCAACAGTGACAGTGGATCTTGCCAGAAGCAGGTTTTCCATTTTTCCAGGCATACTAAAGAAATAACAGCTTGCACCATCGTAAAATGATGTGTAAACTCACTCTGGTCAGC